TTTGKAMAATGTACAACTTTAAAATGTACAACTTCAATAAAAGGGTTTATTATATATTGGACACGATTGCAGATTAGATCACATAGGAGTAAATTTAGAATTTTTTTTATCAACATATATAGTAGATTATACCTGCAGAGGACGACATACACTTTAGGCGGGAAAGGTTGTATTTCAGTTAACGGATCACAGTCAGCGCCGGTTCTTATTAATATATTTTGTACAATGCACAACCTTCAAATGTACAACTTCAATAAAAGGGTTTTCGACACGATTACAGATTTAGATCACACAGGCATACATTTAGATTTTTATTTATCAACATATATAGTAGATTATACCTTCAGAGAACGACATAAACTTTAGGCGGGAAAGATTGTATTTCAGTTAACAGATCACAGACAGTGTACAAAAAGTCTTGATATAAAAGCAAATTGAATAAGGTACWTACACTACATAATCGCGGTACTCGTAACCTTCCTCCSCCAGTCTGTCTTATTCTCCTACTTGGAGCATTAAGTTTGGCGTGTAAATTATCGATTTTCGATACAAGGCTCGTTATTATCTCCTCGTTCTTGGTAGTGCTGTTTTCGACTTCTGTATTCAGCGCCCTGTTCTCCTTCACCAAATCATTCAAGAGGAGAACATATCTGTCTGTTAGATTGACTTGATCAGCCATAGTASAACGAGAATCAGCYGAGTGAAAAAAAAGTKTTGCTGTCCGCGTTAACTCTGATATCGAAGTGAGGAAGTTGTGTAATGTACAAATAATTGTACATGATATTTCAAGTTAAGGCGGGAAGSACGATCATTGGCTCTGATTAAATTCTCAGCAGAAGAAACTACTACGTAACGGCGAGAAGGCCGATCATTGGCTTAAATCATCAACATATCTTATTACTTTGACGTCAAACTTTTATCAGGGACCTCTACCACGGGCTAAAATATGTATTCAAAACAATACAAGTGAGGGGGATGTACCTGGTAAAATTATTGTCTTTTCATTTTGGCGGGAAAAGATCTAATCACCKAACAAGTACGTCGCCGTTCAACTAAAACTCTCTTTACGATCGTCTGTATTCATGGCTGAAATGGCGCATTTTAGCAAGAACCTCATGACGAGTGGCACACTCAAGAGGAGTACAGAAGATCTCTGAGGGTGATAGAACGGTCGCTCTAGCGAAAGAAAGAAGACTTTCAAGGYCAAACACAAGAGAAGAACTACGAGTGAAACAAAAGCGAAGGAGACAGCTTAAAAGAGAATTGGAAAAAAAGACATCCATTAAAGGGAAWTTAAAGTACAAAGCAGCGATGGTTAAGAGACTAGAAGAACAAAGACGCGATATAACCAAGAAGTTGGAAATTACGACTAAGCATGCCAACAGCAACAAGAGGAAAGCTGTACATTTCTGGAAGCTATGGCGGCAACAGCAAGCTCCACAGAATAAAATACGCAGGTACAGTACACTAATGATTATCTGTTATGTCAAGAAAGTATGTTGTACACGATAAAGTTAGAAATTCGTTACAATAATAGGTATATAGTCGAACTTGTCATGAATGTAGAGTGTTTGACCTTTCGGATGTCTCGTTGATTATTAAAATGTGAAACAGCAGGACGCAAATGTACGCTGTACAAATGTACAAACATTTAATGAATTGTAAATAACGTTGACTACTACTTGAACAAGTGTAATGACAATGTGTTTCTTTAAGAGGCAAGACAATTCTTAAATATCAATAAGAGGGAAAGCAATACGTCCATGAAATTGAGTAATGACATGATAAAATCTCAAGTGGAATCACGAGCCGTCAGCGAGTTATTTGAACCGTTCGCTGATGTCAAAGTGCGCTGACCAATTTGCTTTCCCGCTAGTCTAAGAATTATCCAAAGGGGCCAAAAGATATATCGTTTTCTTTAAACTGAGAGACGTCATGGTGTCTCTTATAATTACCGACACAATGTAATCAGCCAATCAGCGCCTATATTCATCATTTTTCTTTTCTTTTGATTATTTTGTTAATTTTACTTTTTTATAAAGAGAGCCACGTCAAATTGAAAGGGACAATTTAAAGAAATGCAGATCCACAGATGAATTGATTGGAGAAGGAAGGTTCGGATGCTGTAAAAAAATGATGTATAGAGGGAGAGTAGTTGCTGTGAAGCATTTCAAGGACTGCTCAGATAAGGCTGTTCACAATGAAGCAGCAACTATCAGCGAATTGGATCATCCAGGTTAGTTATTCACAAAACAATGTTCCTAATATAGCAAATATAGGGTAGTCCCCCCCCCCAACACACACCCCAGGCCAACGTTCCTACTATTTTATATCTAATCATGACAGGGTACAAACAATATATATATGCAATAGTTTGTACATTCTATTTAATTTGAAGTCGACGACATTTATCATACGAAATTCTTAAAAGTATACGACAATGCATGAAATTAGTAACATAATTTAGCAGTATCATGTGATAGTGTTTGTATATTTTATAGCTCCAGTTTGTAGTCCATAACCTAAATTGAAATTGTATTTTTTTGCTCCCTTTAATTTTGCACTAATACATGATGGTGTTATTCATTTTTTCACGTGGTTAGGATTGCCTTTTATCTTTGGTGTTTGTACAAAACAGCAACCATTTCTTCTAGTAATGGAGTATTATGGTATCAATGGTACTTCAGTGACTATTGCACGCGCACTCAAAGGAAAAATGCTGTTTGGCCAACCCGAATGGACAGACGTGGTACTACAGTGCTCAAAAGCAATTGCATACTTACACAGTAAGGGTAAGATCCATTGTGATTTAAAGGCTGATAACATTGTTTTGCAAGATTCTGATGGCGTAACTCGTCCTGTGATCATTGACTTTGGTAAAGTAAAAGATATAACTACTGCTAAAACAAAAAAGCTCTCTCTGGTCGATCAAGAGTTTTATCGCAAAAGACATAAACACATAGCACCAGAAATAGTAAGGGGTACACACCCTCCCTCTACAGCTAGTGATGTATATGCCTTTGGGTTAATTATTTCATTAATTTGTCATTATTACAAATTTGAAAACCTCAGACGTATAGCAGTTCAATGCATCCACGGCACACCAGAGAAAAGGCCAAGCATGGACGCTATTATTACCACACTTGATAACAACAGTGTTTAACTATTATTATATCCGCATGCAGTAGTTGCTTTTCGGATTTCTTTTAAACCGTGTCAGCTACACAGTTGTGTGTAAAGTATGTAGAAATCTAAACTTATGAAATGTTAATTATTTCAATTGTCTTATATAGATATACTCGCTGGTCATTTGCAGTTTACTCGGGATGTTATTCTATAATTAGCAATATATTATATGGTTAACGTTTCGAAGCTAACACAGTTGAAAAGAGACGCTGAAACGCAAACTAGCAGACATACACGAATACGAAAATTGTTTTACTTAGTATATATTATGAATTTTAAAACCTTGCAATATAGTTTTCTACTTTAGCTGCATGAAAATTGTTTCACAAATGGACTTACGATGTATCGTTCTTGTCCATTTGTATTCTTAAAGTTCGCATAAGAACAAATTGAGTGGATCCGTTGTAGAGGAATAAATCGAGAGGGACCACCTGGGAATGTTCGTTGACTATCACAAACAAGAAGAGGGTTGAGTTCGTTGAAAATGGTGTCTTTGGAAGGCATATACCATGTTACACATGCAAACAAATGATTTTCATAATTTCCATTTATACATATGGAATGGGAAAAATAATAATCAACTTTACCAAAGTTAAGTCTATGCCTTTTTGCGATGTTGCCGTCTTCCTGGGGCCATGATGCAACAATACCTCCTGAATGTCGACTTCGGTTTTGATGTTTTGAGCCCATTTCTAAATTGTACACACTAACGGTACCATATTTTTTTATTGTTCTACTGAGTACGTTGAGGCTTATTTTGTTTTTAAGGATGGAATTGTATACTTCCAAAAGAACTTCTATATCGTCCTCGCAAAAGCAGGAATCTGAGTATCGAGATGGAAGTTTAATAGCAGACGTGTTTACCCAGTTTATGTCCGTTAATGGCAGCTTTGATGCTATCTCGTAGTATTCTAAGATTGTTGAAAGGGATTCTGTAGTTTGTAGGTCATATTCAGTAGAATGCTGCATCGTACAGACCAAATCACGAAAAGAAGAGCTGAACTCATCTGGCAATGATATATCATCTAAAAACCKAGATGTGGTAAGTTTTCGCATTAGTTGAAGCTCAATCGACCTGTTATTAGACACAACACTGCCAATGATGCCGTTATACCTTTCAAAGCTGAAACACCAAAAGCTGTGCATTGGACCGTAGTCCATAATGACATCCTTCAGATGGCCCTGAAGATGCATGTTAGGCGTAACAGCTTCCTTTCCATACAACACTTGAAATTCTTTGCAAAATTTAAGTAATAGTCCATCAGCTTTGATGATGTCGTAGTCATGCAAAACAGGACTGGTTAAAAACCTGCATGCTAAAGTAAATGTCTGCCAACACCTTAGATGTTTGTCGTCTAGTATCCCCTTCAATGCATAGTTTGAATGCAATAGTGTCCAGTTTTTCCATTGCTCAGCTGTGTATGAGCCGAAGTTTGCCGATATATTTTTTGGAAGTCGACCAATATTTGGGGGGACGTTCATTGCTTCAATTCGTACTTCAATCTTTCTCAATTGAGCGTTGGAGAGGTACCCTTCACTCACCCATATCTTAAACATCTTTTTTGCAGTTCCCAGGAAAAGATTGTGCATTGGGTCAATGGCACAAAAGCGCACTACATCAAAGTATTCAAGATCTAAGAGCGAAGAATAGTAGTTCAAACCAAATTTTCTAGCTAGATCTTTCGCTGCTTTTTTTGTTTTGCATTTAGTTATTTTTTGCGCCACCTTTCTGTGTTCGTCGGAATCTCGTTTCTCCCAATTTTCCCTGTCAAATCCGGAGTAGTCTCGTTTCTCACCTACATTTCCCTTGAACTTTTTCAAGCACTTCGAACAGCCTAATTCAGCACTGTGACCTTTGAATCCGCACAGTTTTCGGGATGCTGGAATGTCCGACGAAGTACATAAAATAGCGCATCTAAATTTAAGCTGTATGCTGCATAGACTGTTCTTTAAATGAACACCTTTCCATAATGGCTTAAGTTCTGCGACTGCGGGTTTGAGAAATTCGTTGAGACATTTTGATTCTTTTCCCATTGAGGGAATTATTCCGATCACTATCACGTTTTCCCATTTGAAGCGAATAGCGCGAGGCAAATTTAGCAGTACTAAATATAGAACACCCACTGAATAATCCTTCATTGGTTTCATTGGTTGGAAGTAGTCAAAATTTAGCATTAAACCATAGTTTCTTGGGGCCCTGAGAAAGTCATTGCCCTTGTAGGTCTGAAAGTCAGACCACACCTGTCCGTCATAAATGTCAGATATGCAATTCAGTGAATTACCGCGCGTTCTCCATTTTTCGCATTGTTCTGGAAATCCTTTTTGTTGTAATAGCATCTCTAATGAATTTATTATTCCATTGTAGCAATAGTAATATAGGGGATAAAACTTAACAGAGTTATCCTTCAATGTTACTTTACGTACTAATTGACTGCCACATATTTTCTTTCTTCCTCTTAGATAGTAAGTATTCGAGCATTCCTTTCCGACCACATTTCCATTTATTTTTCGTAGACATTCATCATAGAGATAGCATTTTGTGCATTTAGGACAAACGACGTACTTTGTAAAATTGTCCTTGTCCAAATTCAAGAATTTTTCTAACATGTAAATAGAGCACGGAAATAACTTAATGACTTCGTCAAGCACCTCATTCCGTATTTCAATATTTAAAATTTTGAGAAACTGAAGAAGAAATTGCAAAAGCCAAGTTAGCCCATTATCACTCAGATGTGTAATACCTTGCCATATCAGTAGAAAATACAACATCCAATAAACAAGAGAATTAGAACGATGGTTCTTTTTTTTCTTCGCATTTGGCTCTGGTAATTCTGGTGTAGATTCTAAATCTTGCTCGATAGAACCTGGCATTTCGTCCCAAATTTCATTACCGCTAACATTCTCATCTTCACTCTCGTCATCGTCACTGCTGACATCATCATCATTGTCACTTCTTGTCGCACTTTCTTTCTACAATGAAATAATTGGTAGAACGATTGATTTAAACAGAAATATTCCCCTCCAGGTTATCCTTTTGGAGTGTATGTTAACTTCCCGATTAGGCTGCTGATTTGACTTGAGTATTAAAATGCACTTAAATCGAAGACACACTTAGTCAGAGAAAATTGTATATTACTTACAAGATAAGTAAATAAATATATCATATCAATATAACTCTGTAACATGTATGTGCGACCCCGGGGGCCGGGCAAGAGTATTTCTGTGTATTTCGATCGCGTGAACTAAATACATGTATTAAAATATTTTTTTTCACTTTCAAAGGTAAATTCGTAATTTCATCTATTAATACAAACATGAGATGTTACTTACTTGATCAGGAGTTTGATCTAACCGCATACTTGCATCTGTAATGATATATCACAGCCATTTATTGTTAATTTGCTAACCATCTATATCAAAAGACTTTTTATTATGCCTTTTCTGACGTATTCAGAATGATATTTTCAATAGTAAATACCTTCATAATCGGAGGGGTTACCCACGTCTTCATCCGACGATGAACTTTCTTCGTCCACTTGTATGCGAGTACCTCGTCTATTCGTATTTCGTAATATTTCAAGATTCATGTGTCGTCTAAACGTTGTTTGGGACACATACTCGTTGCAATATGTACAAAACATGTACCCAGGCGTCTCAGGGCTAAAACTCATTTTAAAAATATTTCTATATGCTGCTACAGCAATAATTATTACAACTTAGAATACCACTAAATATAGTTTATATATGACCACACGATGGCGATACTTGTGTATAGAGCTATGGGTCAAATGAATTTCGTAATAGGAAATTGGCTATGACTGACGTAAAACGTAAAAGAACATACTCTACATTTTTGTGTACAAACGTAAGCGGTATATCAGTGCTACTTTATAAATCTCCTAAGAACGATATCAAGATACATTAACCGGACTTTAAACTAGTTGAGTAAAGTCTATTAATGAATAGATACATTATTATGTCTTTACGCGTGTTTAAAAACGATTTAAAGTTACATTAACCGAACTTTAAACTAGTTTAAAGGAGAGTAAAGACAAGATGTCTTTAATAATCTTTAACTGGTTGAGTAAAGCCGATTAATGAATATAAACATTTTATGCCTTTAAGCGTGTTTAAAAACGATTTAAAGGTACATGTACCGACCTTTAAAGTTGAATGTAAAAGAAAGAAAAGGCAAGATATATATAATAATCTTTAACTGGCTGAGTAAAGCCGATTAATGAATAGATCCATTTTTGACCTTTAAACGTGTTTAAAATCGATGTAAAGATATGTTAACCGACCTTTGATGTCTAGTATAAAGGAGAGTAAAGACAAGATGTCTTTAATCGCCTTTAATGTCTTCAAGTAAAGACATTCAAATGTACATGTGCATTTAATTACCTTTAATCAAGGTTAAAGCTCATTATAGTTTACTTCCCTTTACGGCGAATCGTAAAGGTGACTAAAGGTACCTTAGTGCCCTTTACGCTCTGGAATTAAAGGTCAGTAAAGAATTTATTTCGTCCTGTGATAGGGCTGGATTTAGCTTACTCTTCTGGSACGGTCAGGTAAAAGGTGGTACAAAAATAAACAATAAATAAAAAATAAAATGAAAAAAAAAAAGAATTATAAATAAATAAAAGAAAAGAAGGAAAGAAAAAACTAACAACGAGGGATGGAAGAATATGATCTTTATAGGATTACACGGTGTATAACTTTATTAAGACTGCATAGCCTTAAAGTTGACGTGAAAAYCATTGGCTTGCATTCCTTCTTCCCCGATTTGCGTTTCTGCAATTACGGGCTAAGTGGCCGCGCCTGCCGCAGTTGAAGTAGACAGGAGCATTTTGGCGACGTCTCCATAGTGGGTATGGCATGGCAGGTGACGCACGTTCCGTTCGTCTGAGGACCTTTTGGATTTCTTTCGCCACCTMTACCTCGTCTTTACTTCCTGCAAGTTTCAACAGGGTGCTTTGCAAGGACRGATCGTGGACTAACGGTCTTGACTGTTTCAAGACTACATTGAAACGAGAGGCCCTATCGTCTCCTCTTTCTCGAGCAGTGTCTACCAACTGCTCTAGGGCTGCCAAGGCTGTGAAAGAATCGAAGAGTGCAGGAGGCTTGGAAAGATGCTGTCTCAATAGCGCTAAGTCGGCGTCAACGTTGGATACATCATGCAAACGTCTGAACTCGTCTATCTGGCTTTGTAGGTTTGCAAGACSAACCTCCTATTAGTAACAAATGAGCGCACTTGTGAGAACATATTCACAATTACTGAAACAAGGGTCGACACACGACCAACCGCCGRTGAAATCATAGACTTTTCCGACCGACACACGGTCCATACACAATTGTTGTTACTAGGGTCGACACACGACCAAAYGCCACTGAAAGCAATAAATTTKTGACTGATAAAATGAAAATAGGTACAACTAGGACATAAGGACATACTGAACTAAAATTATAGCATGTAAAATTATACTTATGACAAATGTAGCTAACAACAATAAAGGATGACTAAGGGCGTAAATGAGAGTAAAACAAAACGAGCGTAAATRAAATTAAAGTATAACATAGCAAACCAAGTAACTATAAAGTGTATGTATTAAAATAAAATAAAAATACAACACGAACGAGTGAAAGAAAACCGGGCGGAACAACGTGTGACATGAATACTACAAGTGTGGAGCGTCCGCGAGGGACTAACTCTCTGGCTAACAGTAAAAACGGCAAGGAGGTTAATATGAAATATAAACACTTGCATAAGCTAGCGAAGACTTATACCCCATTCACACCAGCTAAACTTGGTTGATAAAACTTGATTTAACCTAAACTTGATTTACTAAACTAGGGTTAGATTCTTTTTCGTTCACACCAACTAAACAAGGTTATTTTGCTGTGCCTCGCTGTTATGAAACAATAACATAACAACTCCACCCCCCATAGGCAAAAATTGTCAGTCAAAATTTGTAAACATGGCGGACGACCAACTTTTGTTTTTCTTTCTTGCTGCCCAAAACTCTGCTCGGGAAAGAGCTATTAGCCGGAAAAAGTTATTGAAAAAACAACGAAAAGCACGTTATCATTGTTGTGTAAAACGAAAACGTGAAGTTTTCTTCTTCATTCTCACTGTTTTGAGTTTTTTTGAGCGTATACCGCTTCGTGATGTATGGTCGCGTTAGAGAAGTTTGCCAAGCCATCGTCGATGTTCTTCTTCTGCGATACATACAACTTCCAAATAGCAGACAGCAGATACAAGAAGAGATAGATGGTTTTAAGGAATGCGCTGGATTCCCACAAGTGGTTGGATCTGTTGATGGGTGCCACATTCCCATCCTCAAGCCAAATGATAGCCCTGAGGATTATATCAACAGGAAAAAATTCCATTCAATTATTCTGCAAGCATTGGTAGACAGCAATTATTTGTTTCGAGATATTTGTGTTGGTTGGCCTGGTAAGGTACATGACTCAAGGGTGTTCAAAAATTCCTCATTGTTTACTTCGTGCTGCAACAGGTCCTTTCTCCCTCAAGGCCTTGCTAAAGTTATCTCAGGACAAGCCGTACCACCATTAATCATAGGAGACTCTGCATATGGTTTGCAAGATTGGTTGATGAGGCCCTTTAAAGATCATGGGCATCTCACCAGGGAGGAGACAAAATTTAACCATGTCCTCAGTGTAACAAGAATGGTAGTAGAAAATGCTTTTGGAAGGTTGAAGGGAAGGTTCAGGTGCCTTGGCAAGAGGTTGGACCTTTGTCTGGAGAACTGCGTTCTTGTTACAAGTGCTTGTTGCATTCTGCACAACTTTTGTGAGTTGAGAAATGAAGAGTTTGATCCACTGTGGCTGAACGGTGTCAACATTCACAACTTTCACCCAGGAAATGCTGTTCATAGGCAGGACAGGAATGCAGTC